GCCAATATATGATCTTTTGCTCTTTCTCCCTGCAACTCAAATAAATACACAAATCTTTTAAAAGAGAGAAAGGAAAGAAATCAATGACTTACTAGGATCCAATTTCACTTCCCCTTTGAGCAGCCATTATTTCTGAAAAGGGTCTTTACCCAGGAAATTAGATTCTTTCCCCCTACCCAAGCAATCGTACATAAGTAGAATCAATTAAAGAACTCCAAATTAAATTGATCTACACAAGCTCCACAAACCTAAAGTAGCAGAGAATTTCTTCATCCTACATAGTGGTAATAGCCCCTTCCAAACTTGGGTGGTATGAATTAAGTAAGCCTGAATCTTACACTTTAAGAAGTTAAACACTGGGCCCGGCGGTAAGGCCTAGATGCTAAAGTCTTCGCGTTGAATGTGCCAGGATCCCATATGGGCACCGGTTCTGATCCCAGCACCTGTACTTTTCATCCAGCTCCCTGCCTGTGGCCTGGGAAAGCAGTCAAGGATGGCCCAAAGCCTTGGGACCCTGCACCCACATGGAAGACCTGGAGGAAGTTCCTGGCTCCTGGCTTCGGATCAGCACAGCACCTGCCATTGCGGCCACTTGGGGGGGCGGTGAATCATTGGACGGAGGATCTTCCTCTCTGTCCTCCTCTCTGTATATTTGAGTTTGTAATAAAAAAGAATAAATCTGGGGCCCGGTGGCATGGCCTAGTGGCTAGAGTCCTTGCCTTGAATGAGCCGGGATCCCATATGGGCACCAGTTCTAATCCCGGCAGCCCTGCTTCCCATCCAGCTCCCTGCTTGTGGCCTGGGAAAGCAGTCGAGGATGGCCCAAAGCCTTGGGACCCTGCATCCACATGGAAGACCTGGAGGAAGTTCCTGGCTCCTAGCTTCGGATCAGCACAGCACCTGCCATTGCAGCCACTTGGGGGGGGGGGCAGTGAATCACTGAACAGAGGATCTTCCTCTCTGTCCTCCTCTCTGTATATCTGACTTTCCAATAAATAAATAAATCTTTTCTTAAAAAAAAGAAGTTAAACACTTCTATAACTAATGTGTTCAATGTATTAAAAATAATTTATGGCATCCCCATTCACTTACAATACTGTCATCCTTGTGAACTATATTAAGATGTCATACACCACATTTCTAAGAATCTACGATGTTAAATTACTATCCCAGATACACAAGAACACAAAATAAAGCACAATTGTTACTGATTTTTTAAAATTTTGTTTCTTTTTTCTCACCCTCAAGAGTTCCTAAGAAACAAAGAGGAAACAAGCATTAGACTTAACTCATATGTATGATTAGGGTACTTAGGTGAAGAAAAAAATTCATTTCAATTTTAATCATACACTAGTCACTGATATAGGCACATTTTACGTATCATTTAATCTTCATGATAATCTTTAGAAATAAATTACGCCCATATTCTTACTAGTAACTGAAACCCAAAGAAATTACTAAGTAGTTCAATCATCAATATAACAAAAATAATCTTACACAAAATCCTTTACCTGTCTCTCTGATGACCTTGGCTTTTTCATAAATCTTTTCCCATGAACTTTTTGAAGATCATGTGTGTTTAACATAATTTATACAGCTATAATTTGGACATATAAGTTCTGCATGTTAAAAAAAAGTTCTGTGTGTTTTCTTCTTAGGTACATATTGAGTTATGTTTAAAACTGTTAAGTATCATTTCTTACTGTTACTCATCTAAGAAAATGCCACATCATTATTATAAAAGGACTTTTCTATATGTATTGATTATAAACTACTATCTATAATACTAAAACACTTCTATAGCACTTTTAACTTCTTGGGAGTATTTTGCCAGTTGTAATCCTCATTATCATGTCAATTTTGCAAGGTAGGCTACATAAGTATTCTTATTCCTATTTTATACATGAAGAATAAAAACAAATAATAATCTTAGTCTACGATAACAGCCAAGACCTGAGCAAAGTCAACCCTAAAACCAAATTAATAGTGCTAATTATATCATGGTTTCTTTTCTGGCTTCTTTTCTGGTTTTCTAGAAATTTAAATCTACTAACATCAACAAGCATAATTAAAGTAACTGCAATTCCAATTTTTATACTTTTCAAATATTCTAGATTTATTAATACGTACAATATTATGTTTGGAAAAACTAGCTCTCTAATAAACAAACTTGTTCAACATAAAATCAACTTTTCCCATGAGGGGAAACACATCATTATTATTGACTTTCTTTTTCATTGTTTTTGAGAGACACAAATGTTGGGGCCAGTGCTGTGATGTAGTTGGCTAAATTTTCATCTGCAGTACTAGTTCCAACTGCTCTGTTTCTAATCCAGCTCTCTACTAACATACCTGGGAAAGCAACAGAAGATGGCCCAAACCATTAGGCCCTTGCATTCATGTGAGAGACCTGAAATAAGCTCCAGGCTCCGGGCTTCTTGCAGCCATTTGTGGAGGGAACCAGCAGACAGAAGATCTGCCTTCTCTCTCTTTCTATATCTATAAATCTGCCTTTCAAAAAAAAAGCAAAGGCCAACACTTGTAAGTATTTGAGTGGCTTTGGGTCTACACAGCTGACTACTCAATATGCCACAAATACCTAAGCAACAGCCTCATATTTTACCACCAAAACTTAACATATAAATGAATAACTTAAGTATTTAGAATCAACTTATCAAGTCAGTTTAAAATTCTTCGTGCTTCATTTCTATAAGCTATAACTGACATTCCCTAGGATCACTAACACAGGTATTTTCTATTAAAAAGAAAAAACTAATTCCAAGTACATTCCAACAGAAGCTAGCATATTATAAAACTTCAATCCAATTAGGGTGATGAATTGTCTGAATTTGGCCAAAAATGCTGGGAAAACAGTTGAGGATGGCCCAAAGCCTTGCCCCTGCCCCGGCGTGTGAGACCTGGAAGAAGCTCTTAGCTCCTGGTTTCGGATCAACTCAGCTCTGGCTGTTGTGTCCACTTGGGGAACAAGCCAACGGGTGGAAGATTTTTTCTGTCTCTCCTTTCTATAAGTCTAATCTGACTTTCCAATAAAAGTAAATAAATTAATTAATTTGTAAGAAAAAAAGAGAGAAAGAGAGAGACAGTGCTGAGACCTGGACCTGACAGTTTTAACATCAGGACAAGTTGGCCACTCTTGTTAATGAGCACAGAACATGTCTGGATACTTGCTGGCATACAGCTACACACTGGAGTTTTTTTCTAACTACCTTTCAAAAGCGAAAAGCCCACAAATTCAACTCTATTTTTTCTTAATCACATACAAGTCCCAACGAGCAAAACTGAAAGAAACTAACAAGGGAGACATATAAACGTTTTAACATGAGCATACACTTTACAGCAAGCACACAGCAATGGAGGACTTGTGGAATGAAATTTTCTAACATGAGTTTACTTCACACATTGACAAACTTTTAATTTTTATTTCTTGTGCAATTTTCATGAGATTATTTGAAAGGAAATAAAGCCAATGTGCCCTGCTTGCTTTGCACCACTTAATTCATGTTCTTTTAGCTAGAAAAAGAGTTCATCACTTAAAGAATATATGCCAAAGCAGCACGTGGCACAGCACGTTAAGCCGTCCCCCGTGAGTCTAGTATTCGATATGGACACCAGTTCAAGTTCTGGCTGCTACACTTTCCATCTAGCTCCCTGATAATGTACCTGGGAAAGCAGCAAAAAGACAGCCCAATGCCTGGACCCCTAGACCTACATGGGGATCCAGAAGAGTCCCAGGCTCCTTGCTTTGGCTTGGCCCAGCCTGGCCCATTAAGTCATTTGGTAGTGACTCAGCAGATGAAAGATATCACTTGCTCTTTCCCTACCCTAACCCCTAGCACGCAATAACCTTGTCTTTAAACAAATGAAAATTGAAAAAAAAAAAAGGTGGGGGGGTCGTAATATGGAAGGACCAAGGAAATAAGACAAGTAACTTAAACAGAAAGAGGTAATAACTGTCTACTCTGTCTTGTTTTGGTTTGTTTGTCTGGTTTTAAGATTTATTGCTTTATCTGACAGGCAGAGAGAAAGAAATATTCCGTCAATTGACTCATTCCCCAAATGGCTGCAATGGCCAGGGTTGGACCAGGCTGAATCCAGGAGCTTCTTCTGGGTCTCCCAAACAGGTACAGGGGCCAAGTACTTGAGCTATCATATGTTGCTCCCCAGGCACATTAGCAAGAAAGTAGCTCAGAACTAGAACATCCAGGGCTATAACTGGGACCCAAATGGAATGCTGGCCCTCCAGGCAGAGGTTTGATATGCAATACCACACTGCCAGTCCTGTAACTATTTTCCTTAAAATATCTGAAAGCTGGTCACAGTTTAATATAAATTATTTACACATAACAATCAATGAATCTAAGGTTTAATGAGACATGTTCAAGACTAAATGTCCTAGCTGTGCAGGCCAGCCCCTTGAAGCCACAGTGGTGAGGTGACTCACCAACCATAGGTGTCTTAGGAATAATGGGTTTCTGCCTGGATGATAACAAATCTGTGTGTCCCAACACATGTGCTCATCCTGCTTGGCTCAGAGAGGAGAGGGGTTTAAAAAACTGGTAACACAGTACTTGCTTTACAATGGAAGTAAGAAATCCAACCTCGCTACAAAGACTTATAATTCATGCAAGCTTTTAAAACTGTCCTCAGCATATATTTTATATTCATTTTCACTTACCAGAAAAGTACAATAAGATCTACAAAGATAAAAATCAAGTTTATGATCCCCAAATTATAAGTAACTGAGAATGAGAATTATATTGAGATCATTGCTTCAAGAACTACGAAGTCAGAGTCACAAGAAAAATAAATCCATATTTAAACCCTATTGTGTTTAATGACTTGATGTCAGTTTCCACTCAAGTGGAAATTAGTAGTTCGTATTTGAGTTCTAGTTCACTGACGTACATTCTTCTATGAAAACTGACACCAGGCCACGGTTAAGATATGGGTTTATAAATATGGAATTTAAAGAAACTTACCCTTTCCCTCTGTGCAGCTCTGACTTCCAGCCCAGTTTCTATAGAAACATGAGGACAAGTGCCAGTGCCAGAAGTCTGCCAATTAGAACTCATCTTTTAGCTGCTGAATAATAAAGCCAGATCCCAAAGTCGGCTATAAGGTTTGATTGTCAGTAGTTCCTAAAAAGACCAGGAGGAAAAAAATATGTTTAACCAAGTACTGTATTTAGTTATGTTCTCTTTAATTCTGGCTATCAAAAAAAGTAAAGGGGGGAGATTCAATACCATATATGTAAAAAAACAACTATGATGCTTTAGATATCACTAAACTTAGGGAGCAGCAAATAGAAGAGGTATCTTTGAATATCTAAAATACATATGAGATACTACATTCAAGGGAAAAAACCCTCATGCATCACATAAATAATACCATTCCAATCACCACATCTTCAAGTACAGTGGAATTCATTCATATAGTATGAAATGATCTTGTAGTAAGATTACAACCCAGCAGAATTGTATCACAAATTAAACTTGTCAGGAAAAATAATTGATGATATAGGTTGTCTCTACTAAAAACAAGCCTCCCTTTCCTCAGGAGAAGGTTGTAAATAATAAATGAACCTTCAAAAGTTTTCCAGATACTGATGACAGGGCCTCTCTTACTGGCCCTATTGTGCTTGATGAAAACTCCCTCCAAATCATACAAAAAACAACAACAAAAAAAAACCATTTAAAAATTTTAAAATATGTGAGATGTGAGAATATAGCCACAAGTTTTCGCTTGACATCAATATGGGTGGCCTGGTGAAAGTATCTTAAAATATTTTAATATCAAAAACAGACATATTAAGAATATCACTCCTGTATCTAAATTAACATATTCCAATTTAGGTGCATTTTCTAAAAATTCATAATGGACCATTCCCTTTAATCCATATGAATTTAATATTTACATTATTTGCTACTATATGAAGAAAAACAGCTTATTTATGAACCTAGTAGTACCACAGCACAATTATAAAACAAAATTGGGACCTATTCTTCGATCCTGCCCCTTTCTAGCCTCTCACAGTAGTTCTAAAATGACCTCTTTCAAATGCTCTAAATCACAGAATGCCTATCAGCAAGCACAATAACTTGAGCAAGTTAACCTGTACCTGCCAAAAACAAAACAACAAAAAAATCTCTTAGAGTAAACCAGAACAAAATCAGAAAGTGGGAGAAGTAAACATAACAAAATAATTAAGAACCAACCATCCATAACAAATAGGCATAAAAACTCCTCCCTCTATCTTTGTGACAGAGACCCTCTGGCACTTGTCTGGCTCTTCTTCCACTTTTTCTTGTTGAAAACGCTTAAAGCTTTAAAGCTAACATCACTGACTAATGTTCAAATCTAAGAATCTTACACACAGGAATATGCTAAATAGTGATTTCTACCACAAAATGTTTGTATATTTCCACCTAAAACAGTGCTTCTCAAACTTGAAGGAAAACATGAAGCACCTGGGGATCCCATTTCCATTCAATGGGTGCAGGGTGAGGTCCTGCAACTCCATTTCTAATATGTGACTAAGATATACACATAAATATATATTATTTATTTGTTTACTCGTTCTAAATTTTTGGCTTTCATTTATTAATTCACATATGTTCCTGAGTATCTATAAGATTTTTCTCTAGAGCAATGATTCTCAACCCTGGCTGCATGAGAACCAGCTAAGGACATTTAAAACACAGCATTTCAGGTCTCCCAGGGTCCTCCTCAACATCAATTTAAATCCATCTCCACCTCGCCTTTTATTAAAGGACATCAGGTGACTACTGCGTAGTTAAGATTCAGACACCTTGTACAGAATGCAGAGAAACTTCAATTAAGCAGGCCAGTTTATTTAAGTCACACACACAAAATGTAGAGAGTATATAGGATACTTGGAACTAAACTACTAATAGCCAATTTCTATATACTAACGGACAAATTAATTTCACAGGCCATTAATTTTCCCAGCGTACTTTAAACTGCAATATTTGCATATATATAGCCCACTAAAGTGTTAATTTTTGCTTATAATGATGGTTTCATTGTGAACATAGAGGTAACAATTTTTCATTGTCTTTTTCCCAGCAAAAAAGAAAATCTGTTAATCAACTGAGAAAGATCAAACAAATTTGCTGTTTACAAACTGTGTCCACACACAACTGGTTTGCACAGGATGAACACCTATTTCACAAGATTAATTAATGTTCAGCTTGGGAATCTGGTTTAATAGCATTAGAAAAACCTAAATTTATTTTAAAAAGCACTCCCAGTGTGTTACATCAGAAATCATATGAGGGTACTTCAAGGTTTGTGGAAAATGTATATTATAAAAGAGCTTCGAGAATCTCACATTTTTTGCAGCAGAATAAACATCCTCTAGTTCCCATGAAATTCTGAGGTACCCTTGTATATGATGACAGCAGAAAACAGTGCTAACACTTTTCTGAAAGCAGAATGAATATAAAGTGGCATGATAGGAAAATGAGGATGAACTATCGGGGAAAATGCTTTGAAAGCTCCAGGTGGTCAACAATTGAACTATATTTAAGTAAAAGAACACGCTGCTCTTTGAACAAGAACACATTCCAAATCTCAGGAGAAAACATGAGATGCTACTTATTTATTTTCCTTGACACATGAAAGAAATTTACGTTATTTCCCTGAGACAGGTGGTCAAACCTTCAAATTCTGTCACTGTCCCTATTTACCAACTTTAATGGTTTCCACTACATTCAGCATTTGCAATTCAAATCTTTCTGTAGCCAAAGGTACTGATTTACAAATTTTCTGACTCCTCTTTCATTAAATAAGCACAGGAGAAAAGAAGAAAAGCTGTCTGTTTTTTCATCAATATGCTCCCAAGATCTAGAATAATAGCAAGGATAGAATCAGTATTCAAATATTTGCTAATTAACAAACACAAATAAAGTACACAATCCAAAGCAGGAAAGTGATCAATCATTTGCAGGGCAAAGATACACTCAGGCTGACCATCCCTACCTGAAAGGACTGGCACCAAAAGTGTTTTGAGAGATCTCAGCTGATCTGATATTGGAATATTCACTTTACCAGGTGAGTAACTTAAGAAATCTGAAACTCTAGAGTTCCCATCATCAGCACTCAGAAAGTTTTGTATTTCACATTTTCGGAATAGGAATATTCAACCTGTTAACTTCTTTGCATCTTAATCCTGCTAGTAAGCTACTCAGAAGGCAGATTTGATTGTCCATCAGTGCAAACAATTTTCACATGCACATATACAATTTAAAAATCAGTTTTTAAACTCACCACACCATTTTTATAGTAACATGCAAAACCTCCGGGTTACCTCAGTTCCTGGCTTTGTATTCCTTAGCCAAATCACAAAAATGTTTCCTGTGTCCCTTTAGCATTTCATAAGACAATGGCTCTTCCTCAGGTAGTCATGAGGTAAAATGAAAGACCAAGCCAAAACTGAGTTCCTTGGAGAAATAATTACTTGACTATAAAACTCTTAAATGGCATTTTAAAGTTTTGTTCTCTGAGTCTCCATGTTCTCCATGGCATCTTCAGTTTTGTTCTAGCTATTCTGTTAGAATAGCTCTGAATGTTATCTTCCACAAGTTTCTCCTTCCAGTTTCTGAGACAACCATTCTTACTCTCCCGCCTCAGCTTTTTTGTCCCAACATCATTTTCTGTTTAGGCCTTAAACATGACATTATCCCAGGTTTTCACTACAGCATTCTGTGGGCCAGAATTACTCAACATGTAGCTCACTGATCACAGAATACATCACAATCACCCATGAGCTTTTAAAGAAACAACTTCTGGACCATGCTGGTCTCCACAAACTCCAAGATTTGTGGGTGGAGCCAATAACCTATTTCCCAAATTCTGCACACATCAAGACACGATAGTTTGAAATCCACTGACCAGACATTTTCTCTCAAGCCCAAAGTTTCAATTCTACCCCCAGTCCCCAGAAAAGCCCTAGTTGGGACAAGAGCCTACCGGATTAGAACGCTGACTCCATCACTTACTAGTTGTCAGCTTGACTGGTGCTCAACTTAAATGACACATGTATACCATAATGGGCAAAATGCTTGACCTAAAGTGGATAATCAACAAAAAATTGCTATCAATATACTCCAACTGACTACCTCCACACTCACCCTCACCACTCCTGCTGCTTGCCCTTCAGGATTCATATTTTTGTTGACCCAACTATCATTTCCATCAATCAACAAACTGCTATTCTAACCTGTCTGCCAGACATGTCAATCCCAATGCCCCACCACCAAAATGCCACATCTTTATCCAATCAACAAATTTTTCAAAGCCTATACCCAGATCACCCGTAAAAATTAATGAGCAATGAACCAAACACTTGCCTGTGACATCTCCTACAGCTATCTTAAAATTGTTAAAACTTCTCCCAATACTTAACTATTTACCAGTTGTATACCTACTTTCTATAAAAGCCAAAGGAGGTAGACACTGATTCTTCCCCTCCTATTCTAAGCACCTTAGTTGCTAATATACAGCCTGCATTCCAGTTAGACTTCAACCTGAAGCTGAATGTTACTTGAGTCACGGTTATTTGGTTTGAGCACACTAAGTAATGTTATTTCAAGGTTAAAATATCTTCTTAGTCGCCAAGACCAATTCCATCTGAGGTTTGGAGAAATGTTGTTATTCAAGAAACTCCTCTGTTAAGAATTACAAACTTAGCAGTTGTTAAGTGAAAGGCTCTAAGTGGGAAGGCTCAGAGAATCTAGAATAAGAGACAGAGGCAATGGTCAAAGAAGCCATGATCAGATGTATAAGGATACTTCAGGGTTCACGAAAAATGAAATGAAAACACACATCAATTTTGGTGCACAAGTTTCTGAAATCACCACTTAGGTTTTTTTTTTTTTTTCATTACTTGCATTTTCTGTGAACTTTATGAAGATTCTTATACAATCACAAAAAGAAAAAAAAAGTGCTATGCAAGCCACAAACACTACATTTACTGCCTCAGATTCAGAGCTTATAAGAGCTATAAGATTTCTCAAAAAAATTTACAAGTAGATTTATAAAAAAAGTAAAAGACACAAGTGGCAATTTATAAAAATCTGAGTAGTTTTCCTGAAGTCAGGATAATCCTTATTTTCAATTTTAATAACAACCAAGCGCTTCAAAATGAACCCAAGTCAATTTAAAGGTACTCCTGCAACGATTTCCCTAACAGAATCCCAGCTCAGATCATGGCAGACATTGAGAAACTACACAAATAATTCAAAAAGACCATTTGCAATCTATAAAACCTAGTACTCTGGCCCTAACCACTCAGCTAATTTTTCCTTCACAGTGCAGCTGGGAATAAATTAAATCTCAGAAGTACCAAAGTTCAAAAACTATCATACTGTGTACCTTCCCATTTAACAATGTGACATGGTTTACACACAAATAAATAAACACCATTTGCAATACATTTTCTTATTCTTGAATGATGAAGCCTGAGATCTTAACTCAGAAAAAGATACCAAACATGTAGAAATATGTTCAAAGTATAACACAGCATTCCCAAATCTCCACAGGGATTTGATTTACTATTGGAAAAATCATTTAACGGACTTACAGTGTGAACTAGCAAGAAAAAGAAAACACCAAAAACTGACACTTACCAACAAGCATAAACTGATCAAAAATACAGAGCCAACATTTTGTAAAGACGATAGCCACCTCATAAGTAGATGTTTCAAGAACTCTTATAAATGACACAGGGGGCCTAAAAAACCCCCTTTTTCCTTTTTACCTTCTCAAAGTATGGTTACACAAATCATCCAGCTAAATAATCCAAGAGTCTCAATCAATTCTGTGTTACTATAGATGAACTACTGTAGTTACCAGACTAATTGTTCTGACACAGAAGAAAACTTCTACTCTGCTTTCTATCTCATTTAAAATAAAGCAAGGAAATCTTAAGTTGTATTATATACTAAAAACAGATGTGACTGTTGAAGTTGCCAAAACCTCATGTTCCATTAATGAGGAATAGGAACTGATAGGACAACATGGAAAATGGAAATATAAGAGTAAACAACAACCAGACATTCCATAATTCTGCCTGATTTTATAATTAATATCTTTTTGTAGCACAAGGAAATAAAGACTTGGCTAAAATATCATCACCCATGTGACAGCATTCTTTCATTATCTTTCTATACCATAAGACTCCAAACCTTAAGTCCACAAATTAGAATTTGTAAAAGAGCATTTTTACAGTCCCGAGCCTTTCTGTACAATTCAGTCATAACAAAGAGTGAAGGAAGGTCAAAGTTAAAGGAAAAATTTTAAAGTCCTTAAGACCCAAATAACCCGTAACCAAGATTCCAAGATCTTTGGTTCCCACATTCAAAGCATCTTTTCAAACATTAACATAAATTTTAAAAAATACACCACGTAGAACAAAAGACACGGCCTAGAATTCCGTAAACTAACATTTCAGTGAGGGAAGGAAGACAGTAAATGGCAGCACCCAACCAGAAAGACTTCCCACCAAAAAAAAAAAAAAAAACACACCCAAACTACTTAACACCATCACCCTGTTAGAATGCATTTTGACTTCTCAAAACCCTCTTACCTGTTACAAGTTTATACAGCTGTTTGCCACTGGAACACCACCTTGCAGAGTTACAACCGTGGCATCCTTTGTTGATAATCACCTGTAGCCTAGTAATCATGATCCCGCCTGGAGACAGACAGCACTAGGGCTCTTCCATCCGAGGTTAAAATTCAAAACAAGCCCAACAAGCCTGCATTTCAAGGTAGTCTTCGTCTGCAACTAGTTAAGTTTAAGACTGGCAAACAACAACAATGGTGTCTGAAGCCAATGGTGCAGCACTGCTGGCTTCCTCTTGAACTCCAGCGTTGTCACTGTGCACCGAAGTCTCCTGCGGCCGACAGGGGTGTTGTTCTCCTGTACTGGAAACAGGCTTCCAAAGCTCAGGAGCCCCTGTACAGGACAATGCAGGAACTAAAGGCAAACACTTTTTCCTCCTTAAGGATGCCTCCATTTTTTTTTCCTCACAATCTGTACTACCAACCGAGGTGACTGGGCCTGAGTGTGCGTTCGTACCTGTGAAACCGTCACGGTGCATGCACATCCAAGGCACGTGGAACCACAGGTCAAATAAGGCACAGATACCAAGTTAAGGTTCTAATTACAAACGCTAGCTCTCAGGAACTCTTCATCCATTCAGAACTAAACCCATCACCGCATAACTCTGAGAAGAAGCCCCTGGAGACGGAGGAGCTCCTCAATTGGGTCAGCAAAGGTTTTATTAACATCATCATTAACACTTAAAAAGCAAACGGAGTATTTCTCCTTCTTTTGGCAATTTGGTGCAAATGTTAAGTGCAAGATAAAACAATTTCAAACTTCTCTTCAAATTAAAAATGAAACTAAGGTCAAAGGTGATGGGTGAACAAAATAAATCAAAACTTAAATTTCAGCAACTCCGGCTCTTCAAACCAGCAAAGCCCCCGACTCGTGCACTGTGGTGAGGTTTAGGGTGCTTGCCCCGGCTTCTTGTGTGCCAGCAAACAGCACCATTTCCTCATCACGTTGAGGACCGAGAAGCAAAGGATCCCCTTCACTGCACACAAAGGGAATCACAGTAACACTAGTGATCCTTCAGAATCGAAACACCGTGATAGTCAAAATGAAATTGATGATCTCCCTGCTTCTTGCTCAAGACATACAAGATCTGAGCAGCAACAAGTACCCCCTTGGCTGCAAACAAAGGGGTCAAAGGTTGTTGTCAATTCACTTCCAGGCAGAAAAACATTTTCCTCAAAAGAAACAATTTATTTAGAATAAAACAAAAGCAGCTCAACTGTGAGCGCACGTTTTGAGTGACAGCTACTTTTAAGCTGTGTGAGCCATAAAAAGGGTTTTTCTTTACTTTTCCAGAAATCTTGTGTACACAGCACAAAGCAAAGAGGTCATTTTTTTTTTCCACTTAAAACACCGGCATTGGCATCACAATAGCAGATACACAACTTTAAGCTGCCATTTTAGTAAAATGCACAAATACTAAACAGATTAGATTTCTTCCATCAGAAGCCCATGTAAACTCCACATAAGCCACAACTTCTCTTCAAAAAGGTCCATTAGAGCTTTGAATTCCATTTCTTCATCCGCTGTTCACCAGTTTTGCTTGCAGGGGGGGAAAAAAAGGTTATTCAGTACAAATGTTTTTACAATATTAAAAATATATATCTTTCCCCTATGCCATTATAGATGAACATTACATTAACAAGACCTTCCTGGATAGTCCCAACTCAACTTCAAAAAGCACCAATAATACCCACTGGCACAACCCTTGAAATGAATTTACTGTATGAATAGACAAATAACAAGTAGAACAATACAGTGAGTTTTTTTTTTAAGATTGCAATTGAGAATTACTCATGTAACTGAGTAAAATATGTCAAAAACTCAGAAAAAAAGTTTACCATCATTTTATAGTCTATCAATATATTCTAACTATAATTTTAAAGGAAAGTACAAAGTGGTGGAGTTTCGTGAAACTTTCACCCTCTCTATTTTCATTCTGTAAATAATATGGAGCAACACAGACTACTCCGTTATAGAAAGGGGCACAGCCATTTAAGAATCCACCTCCATCCATACTAGCAAAGACAGCAGCTGTTACTTCAAAGAAACATCCAAAACAATTGTGAAACGAAGAACACCTCAAGACTCTCACTTTTCAACTGCTTTAAATCATACATATGGAACTCTTGATTAAGCATAACATTTCACTATGGTTACCTGAAATCATTTTCTCTTTAGGGGACATCACTGTTAACAGGGTCAGCTCCACTTTGCTTCTCCTCAAACTTAACTCCTATCTTACACTCAAACACTGTAGCAGAGACAGAAAAAAATGTCCAGAAATTGTCACCCCAAATTTTTTTCACATAAATGGTTATTAAGGCCCTCTTCTCAAAAGGAATTTCCAAATTCCTTACTACAGAGTTTTGGTGAATGGTCCCTGCATGGACCTAAACTGCAGTTCAAGCTATGCCTGCATAATGAGCAATTTCACTATTTAAACAAAGTAGATTTAAACTCTACCGTGTTTCCTCCGCAAAAATAGCACTGTAGTGAATATTTGCTCATAAAAGAAGTTTTAAAATAAGCAGTAATTGACTCAGAAAGCAATAACCAATCACCTTTTACAAGGCTGTATCTCAAAATGATCTAAATGAGTTAAGAAAGACCAGAAGGTATTACCTTTAGGGCAGACATTTTAAGATGTATGCCTTAGGGAAACACTCTTATTTACTCTAAAGTACACATCTTAAGCCAGGAATTTAACTTTTCATGTGGAAAATTTGTTATAAGAATCTCAATAACAATCAATAATCAAGAAAATATCAAAAAATTATGTAAAGGAACTGAATGATTTCATAATTTTCCTTAGAGTTCAAAGTTGTGATCTAAAACTTAATTTTTTTTTACCAGTAACACTAAATTAGTCATCATAAATTGAAACAGTGAAATTTTCTCCCCATCATTTCACTTTCTACCAAAAAAAGAATTACCTACACTAATTTTAAAAAGAAAAAGGAATTGGTTGTTACAAAGAACATCCAATGTTGGTTATTTTGAAATTCTGGCTAATGAGGATTAAAACCAGGTTTAGACAATTACTTTCATTCAAATTCTGAAGGCTTAAGTATTTTACAGATACTATAAATCTGCACAACAGAATGGGCAACACAAAACAGATTCATCCAGGTGATGGGACTTTGCAGGTAAGCACCAAACTAACATAATTACTTTTTTATAATACATACATTTAGCAATGGTATCAAGTCATTGTCTCCAAACATTGAAGCACAGATTGCCCAGGTCCAACAAAAACAGCAATGTCAGATAAAAATTTAAACCACAATATGCTTCACTAAGCTGTCACACCAACTTAAAAAAAAAAAAAGGAAAAAGCACATACATTTTGGAGTATAGTAAGTAATATTACATGTCATGGGCTTGGCTCTAAAAAGAGCAAAATTATTGTCTACTACCATATGGGAGGATACCCAAAAGTTAATGATTAGTGAGATATTTAAACTGGAAAAATGTATCTAGCCACAAATTATACTCTGATTGCAGGTATGCACAGACTACTTGCATGAGCTTCTGAACAGGTGTCTATTTCATGCCAAGTACTGTTGTTCGAAAGCAAAAAAAGCACCAAAATCTCACTTGTAGGCTATCAGAAACTTTCCCTGAAAGGCACACCAAGGACTTCTGTGCTCATTGCCTAGTACTTCCTCCTCTCAAAATGGCCAGTTTTTCCAGTTTAAAAACAAAGAAACCACACACACAAAAAAAATTTTAAAAAGAAAAATTCAAATTATAAATGCATAAATGCATAGTGAAAACCAAAAAAGATGACACTGTAGTGGTGAAGCTTTCATGCTGACATGTGTTAGACACCTGCTATAATGGAAAATAAAAATTATATGACATTTCCCTGGGTTATTATTGGTGCTATTTCAAAACTAACAGCTTTGATAACAGAAAGAATAGTTAGGTTCTGCCAGGCTTTGAATAAAGTCACTTATACAGAATAGAAACATGACCATGATCCAGGAGGTCCTGCAGTTTCTAATCATAATTAAGTATAAAGGGCCCAAGCCAACATTCTCAACATTTATATCAAAGGAGAAAAATATATACTTACTAATGACCTGGGAAACTAACAATTGTGGTGGAAAGGACAGGTGGTGGGAGTGGGGAGAAATCGATACCATTAAGCAACAAAACCCCTTATTAAGAACCACAAGTTGATTCCACCATCAGCTTTGAAAAGATTTTCTCAAAAATTGGTTATTTTCTAATAATTCAAGATTTCTGGAAAAATAAAACAATAAAAAAGGGCTTTTCTACATTGACATTTCAGATTTGTAGCTGGATGGCACTGAAAATGTTAAACATGAAACTTTAAAAACTTTCAATAATATAATCACCATGGGATAATATGAAAATAAAAATGCAGGCAAAAAGTTAAAAGAGCTTGACTTAAAAAAACAAGATTCTGCAATCCAGATATGGCTGATTAATGCCCTTTGAAACAAAAGATGACTTCAGAGCCTGCAGACAACTCTTCTTTCTATTATTGAAACCAGAAATTTGAATGGATACAAAAACACGCAACCTGATAAAGAACACTTAGTTTTGAAATATCCACAATTAGAATTGTACCTGCTACACCTCTCTGAAGTCAGTTAAAAACACCATCACAACCAATAACTGACCAAATGACTCAGATTTTAAAAGCACCTACTCACTTCTTGCATACTATTGTAAGCTTAAGACATTAATGGTTTGTAAGATAGTCCTCAATTTTTACCGAACAGTTACAGCTACAAACCAAAAGTGCATATGGGGGGGATACAGAAAACAAGAACTAGTGAGAAAAATGCATGGTAAAGCAAATTCTCTGGAAATAACTTGTAAAATAACTTGCAAATCAAATACTTGATTTAAATAGTTATACTCCTAGAAATTTAATAGTATACATTTTTGGGATCCCTGATCAAATTTTAGTCACACAAATAATTCTGGTACATCAAATTGCTCACTTATATACCAATTAACACTTTTTAGATCTCAATTACCATCTTAATACAGTCAGTGGATTCTTCAAATTGTGACTTTTCAAAATTTTAGTTTTGTAACTTTGAGGACTTTTTTTTAAGCTCAAGGTTATAAAAGGAAAAAAAATCCTTAAGACAGAGGAAAAAAGTTACTCATAAACTCCTAATTAAAGCAAATCAATCTCCCTGCTACCTTTGTAGTATCCCTTTCACTTAAATCAGCTAAACTGTCCTGACTCCTATTTTAAAGAGGTTTATTAAAAAAAATTTTTTTAAAAAAAAGCTACAACTAAACAGCTAATTAAAAAAAAAGTCATCTGATGCTGTATCCCATTACACACACAAAACAAGAACCATGTCAAAGCAGTAAATACAAGATACACATGGACTTTAGGACGCACCACGGACAATGATCATGACCAGGTAATCTTCTTCAGATTTGGCCAGTGCCTTGGCAGGAGAATCCAGGAACTGCTGGGAGAATTCACAAGGTGGGAAGGCATGTAGGACCCCGGTGTTTTCCTTGTCTTTGTTGCCCCCCACAGGAAGGCTAATCACCCCAGCTGCCTGCTTTTGCTTTAAATAGGACACGAGGTTCCTAAGTGGCCTCTGAGTGGAGCTGGCAGTGTCTGTCGTGGCCGAAGAGGAGGAGGACCGGCTCTGGCTCTCAGAACTTCCAGGCACAGCCAGTAGAATGGCATAACCATTAGGCCCTGCCACTTTGATGCGTCGAGTTACTTCATCCAACTTGGGCTGGTCCAAACGGAGACGCTGAGTGATCTTCAGCTGAGCCACTTTGCCTCCAGTGGAACCCTCCACAAGAAGACTGCTGGCCACTTGGAGGTCGCCCTGCAACAGATGCATGTTGGAAGGAAAGTTGCTGTTCTTCAACAGAAGCATTCCTTGCCAGGCCAAGCAGAGTTTTGGAGAAGCTGCTGCTGCTGCTGCTGCAGGGGCTGCGCCCCCATCCTGTTTCTGGGCAGGGGACTTGAGCTTTGATGAAGCAGTGCTGGAGCTGGGCGCACTCCCATCAGACCGGTCTTCCTTTTTCAGAGGGCTCTTTCCCTCAGTGGGAGCAGCTGTCCGGTGCTTCCTATCCCGCTCGGCTGATGCAGAGTTTTTACGGTCCCGCTTGTCACCCTGGCTCTTCTCCAAACTACCTCGTCTGTCTCTGACTGGAGAAGACCGTTCCAGGAGTAAGAGACGGGAGGATCTATCGTTGTCACTGTTGTAACGATCCCGACTGCTGCTCAGCTCTGGACTGCGGTCAGGAGAAGGAGCACAGTGATGTTTCCGTGGCCGCTCGCTCTCAGGCGACCTATCCAGATGGCGTCCTCCGCTGTCATCCGGCAGTCTCCGCTTCCGAGACTGGTCTCTGCTGCTGGGCAGCTCCCGATCACCTCTGTCCCGGTCCAAGGACCAGCCATCCCGCCTGCGATCCAGGCTATCCAGCGGCTCGTAAGCAGTCCCGGCAGTAGCTGCAGTCCGCGTGCTGCGCTCCCGGACCGGAGGTGGGGGTGGCACCCAGTCAGAATCGGAATAAAGGTCCCTATCCCGATCTCTGTACAGTAAGGGTGGTGTCCTATCGCGGGCACCCCGCAAAGGGTCAGGCGCTCGATGTCCAAAAGCATCTGTCACCAGTTCGTAGTGAGTCAAAGGCAGAGGCTGCAGATACTGTTGCTGGTAACGATGTTCTGTGTCGGCAAAGTCTACTCTAAGGCGACGATCTGGGCCACCAAGTGGAAAGCCCCGCATGTGGGTCCAGGCAGCATGAGCTGCGTCCAGACTTTCATACTGAATATACGCCCAACTATCACCTTTTCGGTAGTCTATGGTGCGTATGGTGCCAAACCGATCAAACTCTCGTGCCAGGGCAGCAAGTGGCACCCAAGGTCCCAGGCCGCCTACCCAGAGGCGAGTGGTGGGTGTCGCTTTACCATAACCAATTTTAATAGGATTCCGAATAATAATTTTGCCGGACATTGCTAGTTTGGCCCGGTGAGACATGTCCAGGTTCTCAAATTTGAGAAAACCATATGTACTGGTCTGGCCACGAGAAGGCCTCTTGATGTCGACTTCAGTGATAACGCCAAAGCGGTCAAAAGCCCTTCTCAAGTCACTCTCTGTCACAGTGATGTCTAGGTTGCCCAAGAAAAGCGTCCGGTTGGCCCGCTGATCATCCTCGGGGGAAATCTCGTCCACATCTCTGAAAGGGGCAGCACCTGCTCCAGCTCCCACCCTGGGCTCAAGACTGTATGCTGGACGCACTCTCTCATAGAACGGGTAGTCTCGTTCTCTCTCCAGCTCTCTGGGCAGCGGTGGTGGAGGCGGAGGGGGCAAGCGGCCCAGCGCCAACTGCTGCAACCGGTAGTCTCTGTATCCCAAGGCGGCGCCACCAGGAGAAAGCGCTCTCTGGCCACCACCTCCTCCAGGAGGGTGCCGGTGACCACCGACCGAGGCCCCGACCACGCTGGCCGACTGAGGGTACGCATCTTTGTCTAAAGGCGAGCGGCTGCGACGCCGGCTCACGTACACGGCTTCTATCTTCAGGGGCCGGTCATAGAGCACCAGGCGGCCTCTAGCATGCTTGGCCGCCCGCGCGTCCTCTGACCGCCGGAAGTTCACAAAGGCTACCCGCTCATCCCCGCTGCCGGAACCCGAGAGATGGCTGATTTTGACACTTACATCACCGAAGCGTTTGAACTCGTGAAACAGACCGTCCTCCACCGCTTCGTCGCTCAGCTGGGACCCCAATTCGCTGATCTTGAGGGTCTTGTATTCCCCGCCGTCGGGAGCCGAAGAGGCGGCCCCTGAGGAACGTGACTCCCCGCCTCCACCCCGGGAGCTGCTGCGCGACTCGCCCCCGCCTGAAGAATTTTTGGTGCTCGGGGAGCTGTAACTATGCATGCGGCTACTGGAGCTGCCCCCACCGGTGTCATACTCGCGGCTACCACCTCGGCTGCTCGACTTGTCCAGGTGAAGGCTCCGCCGCGACCCGCCGCCGCTGTCGATCTTTCCGCTGCTGCTACCATTGCTGCCACCAGAGCCCCCCAACTTCTTGCTCCGCTCCCCGCCGCGAGAAGTCGAGTCCTCACCACCACGGGAGCGTTTGGCCTTGACTGGAGAGCGTTCTTTTCCCTTCATGGCTGCGGGTCCTCGGAGGTCGTCTCCGCGGAGCAGATTAACCCGCCGCCCCGCGCTCGTTTCACACAGCGGAACCGCACGCCGCCATCTTGGACTCCGCCGCGGCGAAGGATCCCGCCCCGAAATCCTCATTGGTCAATTAGCTTTCTCTCCTACAGTCTCATTGGGAAAATAATTTGTCTATCTTCACATCTCCCCGCGCTCCGGGAAGGCGCCCGCCCAACCACTGTTACAGGACTCCCGACGCACTAGTCCGAGTTCCTCATTGGTTACCTTCGTTGTCTATCTTAACGGTTCCTCGCGCCAGGCCGTAGCTCCGCCCCTCGCACTCAGGTCACTTGACCAAAAGTCTGAAGGCTTTGATTGGGCACAGAGTCTGCTCTGTAACGGTACTTCTGCGCAGTGAAAACAGCGGTCCCGCCTCCTCGCGCCTCTCATTGGCTGGTGGCCCCGTCCTTTATCCCGTTATTTGGGAAGCCAGACCAGCCGCTGTGGCGTGTTTTTTTTTTTTTTTTTTTCCCGAAAGGCCGGATCTTGGCGATCTCGCGAGAGAGAGCGCTCCTTGTCTCACTTTCTCTCACCCCCTCTTCCAACTCCGGTGGCGGCCGAAAGAAGTTTAAATCTGATTGGAAGTTGATGAGAAACTCGATAGGCTGAAGTAACTGTCCGTCACTCGCTTAAGTAGGCCCGCAGGCGGAGAAGGCCGGCTGCGGACGGACGAGTCCAACACGCACTGCCGGGCGACGTCACTTGGATGTCGCGAGATAGTGACCGTGAACCAGGCCCGCCTCCTCGCGCGGTCGGCGCTCTCCCCTCGAACGCGTTCGGTCCGCCGGCATATTCGGCTGTGCTTCTACAAAGTTTTCAAAACTTCTGGCTTCCCACCGTCCTACCTGTGCCGGACCAGGGGCTGGGCAAGTCCTGCGGCTGCTCGGGACCCTTGCAGTCTCTCAGGAAGCCGTTCCGGGCCACCCAGCGGACAGCAGCTCGTCCCTCTGGCCGCTAGGTGAATAGCCTGAAAAAGCCCCACCTCCCGTGCGCGGAGAAGCGCCGCCCGCGGTCACTGGGGCCCGCGGGGCAGGCCGGGGCCGGGAGTTCAAGGTTCACCGAGCTGTGGGTCACGCGAACGCCCGGGGGCGGTGCTGACTTGGGGAGCCCTGAGGGCCAGGAAGCGGCGCTGAGGACGCTACCCTCACCAGAGAGCCCGGCTTCCGCAGGTGCTGGCCGCTGTTGCCTAAGTACTCCGGGTAGAAATCGTTCCTGGCTGTTTGAGTTTGTATTCTGCTGTCTCAGTATCATACGCAGCACTTCCCTGCTTCAGATGATCAAGTGAATTATCTATGCTCCATACAGATATACCACAAACACACACCCCTCCCTGCCCCTTGGCTTGTACCTGCAGGGACCAAGGTTATTCGGCATGTAGAACACTGCCATCCACCTTGCTCCCCTTCGAATCTTTTAGGCTCCTTCAGTCTTTATTGGTTGCAAAACTCACTTTTGCGTCTTTCATAAACCTTCGTTGTGCAAAACTAGAGAACACCTGTTCAAAAGCACTGGTTGATAGGAGATTATGATAGAAGAACTATCTCATATATTCATGTGTTTTTGGCAATGTTTGTAGAAATTTCTTTGAAAATTTTATGGGAAATTGTTACTACATTGGTCCTAAAGAGGAAAACAGAGTCTGCAGTAAAAGACTTAATTTTACCTTGCATGATATATTTTTTTAAAGATTTATTTATTTTTATTACAATGTCAGATATACAGAGAGGAAGATCTTCCATGCCAATCCAAAGCCAGGATCCAGGAACTTCTTCCAGGTTTCCCACAGGGATGCAGGGTCCCAAGGCTTTGGGCTGTCCTCCACTGCTGTCCCAGGCCACAAGCAGGGAGCTGGATGGGAAGTGGAGCTACTGGGATTAGAAACCAGCGCCCATATGGGATCAAGGGGAGGACTTTGGCTGCTAGGCCACACCGCCGGGCCTTGCATGATATTTTTTTAAGTTTAGGGGTGGGCATCTGTGAGGCAACAGGTTAAACTGCCTGTTGCTGGCTTGTATCTTGTGTCAGAGTGCCACCCTTGAGTCCTGGCCACTCTACTTCCCATCTAGCTTCTTACTAATGCACCCAAGTAGTTGAGAAAGCACAAGAACAGCAGTGGAGTTCCAGCTTCCTGGCTTCACTTGGCTCAGCCATGGCTGTTGTGGGCATTTAAGGAGTGAGCTATTGGATGGAAGATCTCTCTTTCTTTCTTTCAAGATTTACTTGTTTTTATTAGAGAGTCAGATTTACAAAGAGAAGGCAGAAAGAAAGATCTTCCATCCACTGGTTTACTCCCCAAGAGGACCCTACAGCCAAAGCTGAGCTGATGTGATGCCAGGAGCTAGGAGTTTTTTCCAGGTCTCCCGTGTGGGTGAAGGGTCCCAAGACTTTGGGGTCGTCCTCGACTGCTTTCCCAAACCACAAGCAGGGAGCTGGAAGGAGAGTGGAGCAGCCAGGACACCAACCAACACCCATATGGGATCCTGGCACGTACAAGGCAATGATTTAGCCACTAGGTTATTCCATCAGGTGTGGAAGATCTCACTTTCTGTGTCACTCCACCTTTCAAATAAGTAAATATGTATTTTAAAGTTTATTATATATATATATGTATATATATAACTACTCTTTGAATTTTAAAAAAGAAAATTATTCTTAGCTTTCCTGAAACTGTTATATTAAAAAAGTTAAAAATATGCAAAAGAGGGTGCTAGGATTGTGGCTCAGAAGGGTAAGTCAGCACTTGCTATGCCAGCATCCCTTTTCTGAGTGCTGGTTGGAGTCCTGATGTGTTCTGTTTCTGATCCAGCTTCTGCTAATGCAACTGGAAAGGCAGAAAATGATGACCCAAGTGCTTGAGCTCCCTGTCACCCATATGTTTTTGGCTCCTGGCTTTTGATCTGGGTCAACTCCAGTCAGAGGCCATTTGAGGGAACCAACAAGTGGAAGATTGTCTCTCTGCCACTCCCTGTCTTGCTGTGTCACTCTACCTTTCAAATAAATAAATTGGAAAATACAAAAGTAGAATGGTATAGAGATCTCCCACGTGTCTAACACCCAAATTTAATAATTATGAAACAATGTCAGTATAGGCACAGGGACTAAAGTCTTCACCTTGCATGTGCTGGGATCCCATATGGGTGCCAGTTCATATCCTGGCTGCTCCACTTTCCTTCCACTTCCCAGTCTGTGGCCTGGGAAGGCAGTAGAAGATGGCCCAAAGCCTTGGGACCCTGCACCCTCATGGGAGACCCTGAAGAAGCTCCTGGCTCCTGCCTTCAAATTGGTTCAGCTCCTGCCATAGCAGCCGCTTGGGGAATGAATCAGGAGATGGAAGATCTTTCTCTTTGTATCTCCTTCTCTCTGTAAATCTGACTTTCCAATAAGAAAAGTAATATCAATATATTTTACATTCCAGACCTGGAACCAGTCATTTCTCCAAGAAGTTCTAGTTCCTATCAGAGGGAAATGGTTTTTAAAAATAAAAGTCTGGATGCCAGGCAATAAGACACATTTTTTTTAAAACAATTAAAAAAAAACTTTACATAGGGGATTTTAATATATTTTAAACTTACATTAACATTGAAATAGAAGGTGAGCCATAAACTTATTATTTAATATTCAATCCAGATCAGTCAGACTGCAGAGTGATTATTTGGGGCCTAAAGTGATATGCTTAGATGACTTACTGATCAAAGCAAATGACTGTCCAAATCATTAGACTTCCTTACACTTTATGATAGTTGAAGATACACAAGAGTTGAGGGAGAGAATTCAGAGAGCTGATCAGGCCCAGTGTGTGGGGCAGTACTTGAAGCAGGTGGCTTAGGAGCTTGCAGCTTGAATAAGCCAGGAGCCGGATGAAGGTTATTACTGCCCACAGCTGGCTGCACAAAGGGATGATAGCCTCCCTGAAGCCAACAGGACTGGAAAGTTTAATATTTAGATGAAAACCTTTAATTAACATGAGTGATTTGTTTTCATGTCCCTTGTGTTCTTTAGAACGTGAATCTGCATGGTCCGGTTCTGACAGCCTGTTTTCACAAAGATGCTTTACCGAGGTCTGAGAAAGGGTAGGTAAACCTGAGTTTAGAGGGCCAGGACTTTGAGTTGTACTTTTGGTGTTGGTGGTGCAGTTATTGACATGTACTCCAGCTTTTGTCTTGTGATCAGTAACCATGTTTGTAACAAAAACAAGTGATGTGGGAATCTTTTGGTGGTCCTGAAAACAGTTAATCAACCAACAGATTCCCTGAACAGCATGGTAACATGTTGAGCCTTATCTCCTTTCAGTGCTCTGCCAAACACCAAGAAATAATGTAGGAAAAAAGCTGCCTTACCCCTATCTCAAAAGCATCATCTTAGACCTTTGCAGCTGTATGACTCAAAACCCTAAAGATACACAGCGCCATGGTCATGAATAGCTCTAGAAATTTCCATCACCTGTAAAATCAGTTACAGATTTAAAAGGGAAAAGACAAAAACTATGCACATGGAAGGAAACATCACAAATATGGTATGTTTCAACCAAATCTTTTCCTTGCATTCTCTTCTTTCCTGGTTTTACTGTTTGTACAATCTCAGTACACACAGAGACAGTTGTGCTTGCAGTAAGAAATTCATCTTGGGAGCTGAGGGCCATTTGATTTCCTGGCAGATGAAAAAATTTATAAAGCTGGGGATTGGAAAGTTTTTCATACATGTAATACTACATTAGACTTTGCAATTTCATTTCTATAAAGTGATTGGCATCTTGACAGAAAGGTTGATTTTGTTTGTGTGAAGAAAATGTATGCTTTACCAGTAGACATATATTTCAGTTCTCAAAATAACAATCATTTAGGACCCAGTTTGCATTTCAAGGAGGCTTACTTATTTGTGGATTATGGCTTTTCTAAAAACAGGTTTATTAATATGTAATTTATATACCATAAAGTTCATTCATTTAAAATATGCAATTATGTAGTTTTTTTTAAAAATTTATTTATTTATTTATACTGTAACAGCAGATATAGAGAAAGAGCTTCTGTCTGCTGGTTCACTCCCCAAGTGGCTGCCATAGGCAGAGCTGAACTGATCTGAAACCAGGAGACAGGAGCTTCTTCCTAGTCTCCCACACTGGTGCAGAGTCCCAAAGCTTTGAGCCATCCTCTATTGTTTTCCTAGGCCACAAGCAGGGAACTGGATGGGAAGTGGGGCTGCCAGGACACAAATTGGCGCCCATATGGGATCCCAGGCAGGGAATTTAGGTCTGGGGCACACCACTCTGGCTCCTAGATTTAGGGGGATGAGGGTTGACTAGGGAAGAGGTTCTGGGCACATATTGCAGTAGGAGTGGCTGAGGGCACGTTTAACAGGGAAGGAGGGACTTCTGTGGTCTTCCATGGACCAGCCACCACACTTGCAGGTAGGCAAGGGAGCTGAGATGGAGGCAGATTTAGAAAGAGATACACAGCCTGGCAGTAGTGGAATGTCAGCAGAGAAGCCAGGGAAAGGTGAATGTTTGCAGCTTTGTAAGTGTGCCCAGGTTATTCATTGCGTGTCTCTTAGGATAACTTATATTGTTGGGGAAGCTGGGACATAGGTCTTCAGCTTAATGGATGGACTTGAGGGAAATGTCCGTTTGTTCTGAAGAACCTAGGCGTTTTCTGCCTTTTGTGATTCTGCCTTAATGGCTTGGCTGGGGGCTGTGTGAACCTCAGGCCTGATAGTCTACGTGACACCCGGCAGGACACCTGGCAGGTCACGTAGGCAGACCACTCCTCAGGAAGGAGGTACCTGGTGTTTGATAAGATTCACAGCCCAATAGCTCATTGATTTGTACTTTTTGAAAATTGCTTGTTTCAAACCCACCAATAGAAGCCTGCTAAGTCATGACTGTATAATTAATAGCCTAAAATGTATAAGAACTGGGGGGCTTGTGCTCTCGGCCCCTTCCCTTGGCTCTTCTGGCTGGCGCTTCTTTTGTCCTCCTTGTGGATCCTTGCAGCCTCGGCTGCAGCTGCCCCTCCCCCGCCC